CCGAGTGATCCCAGGCAAAGACATCTGAATTGCCCCGAATGACCCTGATCACTGCTTCCTTCTCTTCGGCTGTGCAAGATGAGCCAATGTAGGTGACCTTCTGAGGGTCTCCGAGGACTACCTCTATAGCTTCGAGGGACTCCTCGGCAGGTGCTTCATCCTCGGCTTCTTCCTCTGCCTTGAGATACTTGGGCAGAGGATATTGTAACTGCTATTTGATTGTGCCTTTGGGATTCGCCTCCAACTGAGGTGATTTCGACGCCTTTTTTGCTTCATGTAGCGTTAGCATGTAACATTCTTTTGCAGTCACCTGGTCTCCCCAGAGGTCGATGACTTCCCTGCCATCTGGGGATAAACACCTTATTACTTGATGAAGGGTAGAGGGGACTCCGTTCATACGATGGATCCAACCTCTCCCCATAATGAGGTTATAAGATGGATGAATCTCCGTCACGACAAAGTTCTCCTTCAGAGTCCTCTTTGCTGCAGTAACGGATAGATCGATCACCCCAAGCGGATTCACCTTAGTACCATCAAATCCCATTAGGGGGCTGGAAGTTGGTCTGATGGACGATGGTGAAACCCCCAACTGATCAAAAGCTGTTTTTGTAATGATGTTGGCGCTTCTTCCCAGATCTATCAGCACTCTCCTGATCATATAATTCGCTACCAGGAGGCTGATGACCAAGGGGTCCTCATGCAGGCGCTGGACTCTAGAAAGATCATTGTTACCGAATCCAATGTTGATGCTGCCTGGTGCAACCGTGTTTACCGAAGACAATCTTCGTAACTTATGAGCCTCTCTCAACCTGGATCTGTACAACTCTTCAGACTCTTCATCATCCTCTGACCTTCCGTGTATAGCATGGATAACCTTTACCTGACCGCCCTCTACCCGTCGAGGGTTAACCTCCCGAGGTTTTACGTGCTCCTTCGTGGCGAGATACTCCACCAACTCTCCTCTCGCTATCATGCTTTCTACCTGTCGCTGTAGGGACCTGCAGTCATTGGTGGTATGCCCATAGTCTCTATGGTAGGCACAATGTTTGCTTTTGTCCCTCTGCTCCAAGGGTTGTTTCACGGGCTGAGGAGTTGCGAACCTCGTCGTATTCTCTTGGAATAGGCGCGCCAGGGTAGTACGGAGAGGGGTAAGCCTGTCCTCTGTCCTTCGCCTCTTCTCAGACGCTTGGGTGACTTGCGTGGCGGTATGAGGAACCTTCTGCATCCTTGTGCTCGCAGCTTTCTCTCGAGACTTGTTCTCCACTGTGACGAGGGTAGCGTGCTGTGCACGGTGGGCTACGTTTTCCTCCAACCGAATGTAGATTTGTGCCCTAGCGTTCAAAGTTTGCATATCCGGGGGGGAATATTTGACCAAGGATGTGTGAAACTTGGTTCCCTGGATCATTGCCAACTTAAATGTTTCGATTGCCGTGGCAGGGTGGCAATCTGCTATCTCCGAGGCCTCCATGTTAAACCTGGATAAAAAATCTTGCAGAGTCTCTCCCTTCCTTTGCCGTATGGTGAAAAGGCTAGTGATACTTTTCTTCTGCTTCTTATTTCCGCAATACTGGGCTAAGAACATAGTGCACAAGGTCTCATAATCAGGGATAGACTTGTGTGGCCTATTCCTGAACCATTCTAACGCTGCTCTGGTTAAATTGGTAGGAAAAACCTTACACATCCACAGATCGTTATGATCATCCAGTGCCATCTTTTGCGCATAATGATCGAGATGCCGAGAGGGGTCTCTTGCCCCATCGAACTGGGTGAAGGATGGCATAGTGAACTTCTTTGGTCTCTCCACAAGGTACACCTCGTCAGTAAAGGGGGTCTTGACCAAGGAGTTTTTGTGCTCTCTAGCCATCTCGGCTGGTGTCTGAACTCTTAAGAGCTTCTTTTCGTCGAAGGCATCTTGTACGCGTGCGCCATCTGGAACGCCATTGGACCATACCGTAAGCCTATGGCTGGACTCGGCCTGTTCGTCCTGTGTGCGATGCGGGAGATTATCCGAAGCAACCGCCTCGGACCTCGTCCCTTGCTTTTGCTGAACCTCATTAAGTCGAGCCCCGTTGGGTGGTGTCTCGTTGGCTGGAGGCTCGTGAACCGGAGGTAAATTCCGGGTGGGGGGTGGTGCTACAGCATCGCCTGGTGGTGGTTGTGGCGTTAGCCTGGCCATGGCCGTGTGCAGCGTATGAGTCTGCTGCTGAAGCGCAGCTATCTGGGCGACACTCGTATCGTTTGCTTGCCGGAGTGTCTCAAATTGGTGCAAGAACTCTTCTCGCATCTTTTGCATCAATTCTATCTGTTGATTCATTACTGACTCTCTGTTTGACATTCCAGACACGACTAAGGATTTGATTTGAAGAACAAATGGGAGTATATTTTTATACGTTTCCCACAGACGGCGCCAAAGTGTAGGTGCAAAATTTCGCTCAACCAATGAGGATTGAAAAAAATAAAAAAACTCACTCAAAACAACAATAAAAGTAAACAAGAACAGTATATCGAGAAGCGTAGAATTGCTTGATCGCTTTATTAGAGGTCTTAGCCTCTATTTATATACAAAAGATTGCAAAATTATGGTAGGACTCGCGTTGCTTGCCCTCCAATTCTTTCTATATAAACATTCTTTTCTAATAGAGTTCTTTCCATTGTCGAATTTTCCATACATAGAACTTGCCTTGTACAGAATTTCCTATCTCAGAGTTTTCCTTCTACAGTAAATCCTTCAACTGGTAGGACTTGTGCATTCTTGGGCTGAATATATTTTGATCCGGCTGGACTTGAGTAACAGGCTGGATGTTAAATATTCATAAGCTGGGCTGATGACTTCTTGATTCGGTCTTGATGGAAGTTGGAGGACAAATAACAATGGTCTTGGGCTGTAAATACCCTTAATTTGGGCTTGAGCATGATGGGCCTTATATGTCCTTGGAATGTAGATATGGGTAGTGGTGACGTGTGCGCTTTTTATTGGAAGGAGTTTTTTTCCCTCCACATATATGAATTTATGTTCAGTTACGTAGTTGGTTTTTTACTTGTATATATGTTTTTTTTCCTGGAATTCATTGATAGCTTTTTTATTTTTATCCTTCTTTTTAAAGAACTTCTTCAATCCTCCATCACACCTCTTTGCTGCAAAAAAGTGGTCTTCTTTTTCTTAGAACGAAATCCCAAATTACTACTACCGTTGATGTTATTTTATATTTTATTGATAGTTTCCATTTAAATTATTTGATTCGATTTATTTTTACCAAATGGAGCTCCATCTCTAATGAATGAAACAAGTTAGCTTTAGGGAAAGTTGTAGACATTAGGGGTTGTTTGGTGAGTATTGGGTCCAACGGTCATAGAACATTATGGTCTTTTACATCCCGTAAGGGCCAATTGGTCATTTAATTAAATATGGGCTCTTACAGACATGCCTTAAAAATCCTTGTTTGGTTGCTAGAATGGGCAAATTGCAACCAAATAGCTAAGTTCAGTGGGTTTTCTACCACTTTAGAAGTCCAGGGAATTTTTTTTTTTTTCTTTTGCTACATTGGGCCTAGCTCAAGTAGTGTTTATGCACTTTATCCTATAATTTTTATTTTTTATTTTTGGTAAATCCGGTATTTTATTTTCCCTTGCTACTATTTGGTATTTGTTTGGGCCATTTTAGTCATAGATTTCTTTTGTCCTCTCAGTGTATTTTCTTTAGTGGTGCAACTTGGGCCAACTTGAATCCTACTCAAGCCCAATCTAAAGTTTTGTGGGCTTGAGTAATCATTTTGGTTGGGTTTCAGTTTAAGAACCCCAATGCATTAGGATTGTGTTTGGGCTTGAACTGAGGTGTTAACAACCCAAAACCAACCCAAACTCAAATTCTAATATTATGTATATATGTTAGAATACTGGCCTTATGATTTAATCCTCTAGGACAATTATTTAATGAGCTTTTCTTTTTTATATTTTAAGAAACTGGTCTTGTTTTTTTTGGTATTACCATTATATATTAATGGAAAATGACAAAACTAAACATGTGATTAAAGCAAACTAAACAAATTTGGCTGGACTTTTCATCTCTACCACTTGCTTAGGGTGGCAACAAGACGGGTTTGAGACGGAGTTGGCTAAACTTTACTTCGCCCAATTGAGAAATCATTTATACTAGTCAACTCCGTCCCTACTCCGGGAAGGATTTTTAATTCGCATATCTTCCCTGCTTTCACAAACGGATGGAGTACCAACTCCCCCACTTCCTCCATTTAATTTAGTACAATAAATTAAATTGATAAATAAATGGAAGTGAATGACTTATTAATAAGATTGAAAGTGAAATTTGCAGCATAATATAACAATCAATATATTATTAAGAGATGCAAAAATATAAAACAATTAACAAATAAACACCTCTAAAATGAAAATGAAGAAATTAAAAATATACATATATATATATATCTATATATATAATCGGGTTCGGGTTCGGGGAGCCGGTTAAACAATAAATCTGACATTTTTATTACCATATCCGCCCCTTCTCCATTTAAGGAGCTACCAAGTCTGTCTGATTAGGGGCAGGGCAGGGCGAAAACCGCCTGGCAGAAGAATTTGTCAATGCCACCCCTACACTTGCCGTTTCTTCCCTAAATAAACACTGGTCCATGCTGCTAATAGCTGTTCAACCATGGAAATTGGAATGCTAATTTACAAATTTTTGAAAAAAAAATAAAAATAAAAAATCCTTTTCATCGTTATGCCAAGCTAATTAAGAAAATCCCAAAGTAGTAGCCTTGGAAAAAATAAAAAATAAAAAATCTTCCCTTCGCTACTGCCGTTCAATAGTGGCAGTTGCAGTCTTCTTCGCAACACAGACGAAGTATAAAATTAATTAAAGAGAAACCAATATATAAGTCTCTTTCTATTTCTGAATCTGAAGTTGATCGGAAGCAATGAATTTTACCATTCAAGTTATAAAATTGGATACTATATGGAAATCAAGAGTTTCCCTTTAGTTGAACTTCAAGCAAAACAAATCATGTATTACCATAATATGTAAGCCCTTTAGTTGCGCAGTCACCAATCATATCACGGCTAGAACAATAAAAGACATAAATTTAATATCTACAGAGAGGAAATGAAATCGATGATACAATCCTCAAATTTGATGCTAATACTAACCAAATCAGTATTCCTACTGCTACAGCTATGGAAATAATAGCAAGACGGCGACAGTGCCTAGCAATTCTCGGATATCCTGTACATAGAGATATCGCCATTACTGCGCCAGAGAAGGCAAAATTGAGAGCCAACAGAAATGCATGAAAGAAGGAAGGCTTGTTCTTAAAGATGATGGTTGGAACTGGATTACCATCTATTTTTTCGTAGGGCAGTTGCAGAAGAGCAAAGGCTGTCACAAATGCCACTCCAAAAATCATCTCTTCTAGTGAGCTTTTATTCATCTTAGAGAAGAGATGAGTCATGGAGAGGATCTGATAACTGGGTTCTTCCATTAATTTTTGAAGGCTTCAGGTTGATTGTGGCCTTGTCAGTCTTGAATTAGCATGTAGCATTATATAGTATGTTCATGTGATAAGGTTCATTGACTTGTTTTTAATTTATTATCAAGTTATGTATCTGTCTCCTTCAATAATCAATATGCATCTTTCTTGTGGGACTTAAATGAAGCTGACATCTTTTTTTTTTTTTTTTTTTTTCAGAAGTTATCTGAAATATATATATATGTATATATATATATATATATTAGTTAAAGGATAAGCTAGTATATATGAGGAAGAAAGACTGTACAATGTGTCCCAATTAGGGAAGAAATAACAAGCAGCAGGAGACATCTAAGTCCAACATTCCAATTCCAATTCCACAAAACTTCAACCAGCTTACTCATCAAAGTGAGTTATCCATCTACCTTAGCAGCTGTGATGGCACTCCATAGCACTACAATCTTCAGCCTCTCTTGCAACGGGTTAAGATAATAGCCAGGATTGACCACAAGCTGTGGAACAACCCTGCTGAAAAAGTAGCAGCAGTTGCGAGAGGGATGTGATCTATTTCAAGTCATAGCAACTTTTAAGCTTGGGTGTTGCAAGTCTGGCTCTAACACAGTTTTTTACCTGAGCTATGATGCTGAAATATTTTTTCACTCTTCAAGTTTCTCTATTTTTAATTTTTTTTTTTCAAATTTCTATTGAAAACACAGTTCAAATATCCTAGCTTATATGCAATTTATTAAACAAGGAAAAAGAGAAACACAATACAAAGATATGTTATAAAATTCTACAGCAGAGATAACTTTTCACAAAATGATCAGATGGACAAACCTAGGCTACTAAGTTTTTGCCGCTAACTGATTTAAAACAATGAAGCCAATAACAATATGATCTTAATTTCTTTATAATATTATATTGTGCAGTATTTTTTTTTTTTTGAAAAGTGAATTCAAATTTTAAATTGTATATAGAGAAATAATGTACAAGCTAACTTGCAGTTGTGACCTACTTTTATAAGCTAACTTGTACGCAACTACACAAATGACATCTAGAATAGTTGACTTTTTGCACTTTTTTAGTTGAGCATTATCATCTTAGGCGAGGGACATCGTCATCAGATAGGAATATCATATTTAAATTATTCGATAGTTGAATTAATGAATATTAAAGAAACAATGACAATGAGGATACAAAATAAAATGTATACTTGAACTAAATTACACAAGAATGCAGACGCCAGTCATATGTAAACATATATATATATATATATATATATATGTATATGTATATGTATGTATGCATATCTACATCGACAAGCATATAAATGCTCCCAATTAAGTAAATTCACATTTTCATGTCATTAACGCGCTAACATGTCAAGAATAATGCAAACTGATGTCTATACTGAAAGTCTGAAACAGTGTTCTGACCATTTGAAGATCAACCAATTGACTGTTTCTTCACCCAAATTGTTAAACTAAAACATTTATAAATATATATATAGCCATTAATATACTCTTCTGAATGCTTGGAACTGCAGCATCAATGGGTTTGCATGAACGTTTAAATGGCGATGCTGCATACTCGATCTCATGTTAGACTCAGCTACATTTGTTGTAAAAGTAGTTGCAGAGAGTGTCAACAATCATCTTTTGAGATTGTATCATATAAAGATGGAATTGCTCAGAATATATCAAATTAATTGCACTATTTCCTTGATCTGGAGAACTTCATGGAGTACAGAGGTAAGTAATGCTAGCTCCTCCACATTTTTTTTTTCCATGTTTTTGTTGTTACGATCATGCTCTCAGTGAACACCATCTTTGTGAGACTATTTTCCTTTCGTTAATCGAACTGTTATATATATTGGATCAATGCTCGGACCTCTCTGTTTGAAAAGAGGATCTTAGTCCAATAACTTCCAAGGCGGAGCTAGTAGTAGTGCCATGAAAGCTAGTGAGGATTAATCTTAATGTTAGTTAATAAGGTTGAGCTGGTTATTGAAAATTTATGGAAAACACCAAGGGGATTTGACCTCTTGACCTCCTGAATGTTAGGTGAGAGAATTGTCATTGAACTATTTCATGCAGTGGTAAATATATTTTTTTTAAAACACAAAACGAAGGGTGTTCTTACACAGCCACTTGCAGTACTGGCCGGTTCCAACACTAACAAAGATTTGAATTATGTAGTATTAAGGTAATAATAGGGAGATTTTATACAAGTAGAATGTGGAATATTAACAGCATTAAGATAATATTCATATAAATTAATTGGAGTTTTTTATTTTTAGGCTCCAAATCATTATTCTTATATTAAATAAAACACGAGAAAACTAAAACAAATAAAGTTAACATATAAAAGTTTACTTTTTTAGCATTTAGTAATTTAGGAAAGAGTAAATTACACTAGCCTCCCATAAAGTTTGGCTTAATTACACACACAAGTAATATTTATGCATTTTTTTGCACCCGGCTCCCCTAAATGCTAGCTGTGGTTTGATCCGCTATGACAAACACCTTTCTTTGTCCAAAATTTTGCTAGTGCCATAAGAAAAATGGTTGTTGTGACCAAAATGTCCATCAAGTAAGCTAGAGGAAAAGAAACTTAGATTAATTGCCACAAATTACAAAAAAATAAAAAAAATAAAAAAAAAAAGTCTATCTCTCCACCTACCATTGATGCTTTTTCTAAAGTCCCAGAAATAAACTCTAGAATTTCATACAAATACAGTCACGTTAAATAGCTGGATTCCTCATTTGAAAGAAATGATTTTGAAGCAAAGTGAACAACATGAACACACACATATATATGTATTTATGTTTGAGTATGTATATATATAGGTGCAGAGAAAACAACCTTTGCGGAACTCCAAAGTTTTGGATTGGAGCATGTACGTTCCAAATGGTAAGAATGCGATTGGGTTCTCCGGGTGAGAATCAAAATCAGGAATAGTATGTAGACATGGGCGGACCTAGAACTTTAGGTAAGGGTGGCAAGATTGCAATTTTGTAATAATTTCAGGAAGGCATTAGCAATATTTTAGGAGTATGTATTGAAAAAAAGAAAAAATAGCATGGTATATTAGTAAAAAAAATAAAAAATTCAGGGGCAACTCAAACTCCATTGATGCCCTAATTTCTTTCTTTTTGTGTCAATACTAAGAGTATTGAATGAAAGAGGTGGGGAAGAGGATGATATATCAAGTTAAATGATACATTAAGGATAGTCAATAGTTTGGGAATATATATATATAGTAACATAGATTAATATGTATACCTATATGTATAGTACATATGTACATATATATGTGTGGAAAAAAAATGAGAGAACAACTTGCGGATTTTATGCGGAGAAAAATGAAGGGTGTGTAGGGCTTGGAAGTTTTTTTTTTTTTTTTTTTTTGAAAAGTGTAGGGCTTGGAAGGTCCATGAATGAACTAAGCAGGGTTTTGAAAATACAGAGACAAAGGTGGACTTTTGGAAAGCTTTAAAGCATGGATTGAGAAAGTTGGAGAGAGAATTGATTAATACTTGAAATTAATAATCACATTGTAGAGATCTTTCTGATTGCAACATAGCAGCTGCCATTTGGGTCAACCACTTGTTTTATTCAATACCAGCAAGTTAGTTAATACCTTACTCCAATGGTTGTTGTGCACTATATTTTGCCTTGACTTATTGTTGTCTTGCTCTGTTGATGGCCTCGGCCTTTTTGTTATTTTGTTTTCCCCACTTTGAGGGCACCATGTAATTACTCTATTATCTTCAATACAAGCTTACCCTTAACTTAATAAAATAAAATAAAATTTGTTGAAGTTAAAAAGCCTAGGAATGCTACCTACAACGAGGATTAGGTTAAGCTACGCTTTTAATGAATCTTATATCTTAAAAATTCAAGTGGGGTATGGTAGGATACTCTTAATAAGAGGTCACCTATATGAGTGTGAAGTGGGGCCGTTTCTATAAGAACTTCGAAGGCTAAATTTTCTAGAGCACTCATGAAGTACTAGGAGATGTTCAGGGCCAACTTTGTGTAGGAAGGAACTGTGTGTTTGCTATTGTCTTGGTTTACATCAACAGCTGAACAGTTCAAGACATCATGTTTACTAGTTAGCCAGTAAATCCGATAGTAATACACTAAGGAATGTTTAAGGCCAAAAGTTACTTATCTTGATGCAGTAACTTTCCAATAGTACTCTTTCTAATGTCTGCATTTTCATCATTTGCAAATAACGCCAATTTCCATTTATGAGGGGGATTGTTGGGAACGGAGCTTATAAAACAGAAATTTTGGATGAAATTTGGAGTAAATTTTGTTAAGAATTTTTTGCAGATCTATAGACGAACGTGTTCTTCTCCACAAGGAGATGAACGTGATATATTTACTTCCTCAAATTCGTTTCCGGATGAATGAGAAATTAGCTCCAACGTAAGGTGTTTGATAAGCCTAAATAGGTATGGACAATGTAAAAAGTGCTTGTCCCACATGGAAAAAATGATAAAACCATTTAAAGTTTAAATAAGCCAAGTATGGGATTTGGGTTTAGGCCCAGGGGCACTTAATTTTTAAAGAGGGGGAGGACTTAGGTAAGATTGGGTCCAAACCATTTACCATACACGCGCGCGCCCGACCAGGGCTTGGGCTTAGGCTTGGGCTTGTAAAGTATGGTTAATTTTTCACTAAATGAAATTGGGCCTTTAATTTTGGTTGGGCTTATATTTAAAATTGATTTTCATTTAAAATGGCGTGAGTGGTCCGAACCAGTGCATTAAATGGTTTCACCTGGTTCAAATCAGTGCTTCAATTTGAATTTAAAGTTAACCACCTTTTAGTTTTTCCTGAACCATTATGACCCATGGTTGCACTTATTCGAAAAGGCACATTACTGCCTATATACACCCCCGTTGGGATCATTTGTAAAACACACCATTCAGAAATCAATGTTTTCTGTGGGTTCAAGTCCTAGTCTCTGAGTTTGAGTCCGAGTTCGAGTTCGAGTCTACTTCAGAGAGAGAGTACTACATTGAGTCGGTTCGCCCATTTCTTCGATTTGTTGTGCTACTACCAAAGGAAGACAAGTCGTTATATCCTAGGAGATAAACGCTACTGAGTCCATTAGCGCCGTAGCGGGATGAATCT